GTATCGAATCATGCCGATTCTCGGCGGAACTGCCGACAGTTTGAGGATTTATCGCGTGGAAAAAAGCAGCGGGCAGCTCGAGCCGTGCTTCCGTTTGCGGAGGGAAAGCGGTTTCTAGTTTCCTGCATGCCTACGAGTGCGGCAGAGGCTCGTAAATTATAAGCGGGAATTATGAAAAAAAGGCACGAACCTCGCCGACGTTTCTGCGAAAAACACGGCAACGCACGAATCCTACGTACGATCCGCCCTGGCATTTCCTGGTTGAATAAACGAATTTCAGAGGGGCGAAACAGGAACAGGGATGATGCCGAAATATCAAGCACCTGGTAAGCGATTCAACCGTTTCTGTTCTCTTGGAATAATTTGGAATTCCGTTTGCTAACAGAATTCCTCAAAACAAAAAGCAAAAAAAAAAAAAAAAAAGAACACGTGAAATTCCGTGCTGACAGATAATTTCCAAAGTCTAAAATCTTCGAACGAAACATCAAATCATCGATTCAACGAGAGGCAGATTTATCAGTCCAACAACGGTTAACATTCCCTAGTCGTTGTAATAATTCAATTAAGATGGGATCGGTGTTTCTTTCTGCGACGAGTTCGATTAATTATCGCGGCTCTCTCGTGGAAAACACAAGCGGCACAGACCGCGACAATAATCGGGTTAATTTCATACGAACAACGCCGAGTCACCTGCACGATAATTAATTATTGCTTCAACGAGCATCGCTCGCGTTCTTTCTCGCTCATTTGTCCCTTCTCCTGCTCTTTTTCCCCCGACGATTTTCTTCGCGCGATTCATTAACGTCGCTCATTCCGATTGGCTAACGATGCCAATACAAATTTATACCTCGAATATTCAATATCGTTCTGGGTCATTATTTCGCGCGCGGCGGATTAATTCGGGATATACTTGGAAAGAGATCGAGCGCTCGATTTGCATTGCAAAGCGCCGCGCGATGTGAAATGTAATTCGAACAAATCTCGAATGACCCCCTCAACACTGGATATCCTACTGATTAATGGTGGCTTCTTTCGCTGCGCATTATTCGATTCGCAGGGTCTTCGTTTGACGGCATCAAAATTTGTTAAACAGTGAGTCCGACGAGATATCAAGATCGTAAGGAAATTGAGTTTCACGCTGTAATTAAGAAACTTTCTCGATACCGAATATTTGTAATCTCAAGTGCGTTTGATCGAACGATACATTGATTATGAACGATTTCTTTGAACTTTGAAATTCGTTTCCTTGACGCTGTTTCGAGTTTTTTTTTTTTTTTCTTTTTAATCAATACCAAAATTGCCAAACTTTTCTTTTTAAATTAATAAACGTGTTTTGTGCAAAAATTTTTTTTCACGATGTGTCTCGGATACTTAGTGCTTTATGTTTAAAATTCGAGGCGGCTTCAAGCAGACGAACGCGAGAAAATATTCCTGGCGCAATGTTAACAAAGAGAGATGTAGTTTTTAAATTTGGAAAGTTTCGGCATGAGAAAGTTCTCAAGTTAAACTGAATATGCGCATACCGTTGCATATACGCGTGACCACCAGATGGCCACGGTGTGGTAAGGGCGGTTTTAGAGGAGATACTTCGCAGAGCAAAAGTTTAAGAGACGCTATAAGCAGCAGGTATTCTAGACCCCTCGGCAAGCTTCTAGAGATTGTATCGATTTGAATATGATTTAGAGAATTACAAGCGGACAGAGGTTTAACTTAGTTAATTCTGAACGAAATCGATGGGAAAATCTCTTTTTATTTTTCTTTTCATTAACAATGGATGTTCTAACGTGAAGACAACAGGCTAAAAATATCGTAATTAATTAACGAAGATTAAAACATTGTTAATGGAGAGAAATATTATAATAAAGAGAGATTCTCTACAATTCTTTTCCATCGACTTTGATTTTGATCAACAAACTTCATTTCCAAAATTACCCCCAGAACACGCATTCAACCCCAGAACGTGTCTCTGCAGAGACATTTCTGCACCGACTTCCCTTATCGATCGATGTTCCATTTTTGATCCTCCGACAGAAAAGTAACTTGCATCTCGACGAGGAGGAAAATTTTTTGATTAAAGTGGAGTATGATAGCCAACCGTTCGATCTCAATTCTATTACAAACGTGTACGATCTCGCGATATTTATGCAGCCACCGTGACGATGATTCCAACAGATATGTACCATATTTTGTGTAAAAAAAAAAAAATCTGACCTTGGATCCGAGATGAATTTTATTATAGTTTGTTATTAATACTGCGACAACGTGTAATTATGCTTCGCGACATGTTCAAAATATAGCTTGAACGTTCGTTCGATATCAAACGTTCAAACAATTTCGTTTAGTTTATCGACACTCTTTTCAACACGATGAACGAGAATCCCAAAGGGGCTAACATCTTCCAAGTTGATCTGTGTTCGACCAACCCAATTTCGTGTACGTCGAGCGCATCGTAACTCCGTGACTTAATAAATTCCACCCTCTGGCGAAGATTTGCCATATCGGAAATCGACCCGAGTGTCCACGCAATCCATCGACACGTAAAAACTCGTTACCCAGTGCTGGGGAGCAGCATCTCGTCGCGTCTCTAGCAGCGTCTATTTATTTGTAACCCCCTCGGTGCGCCACGGGAAGCTTTTTCCAAGATTGCTATACCACTCCTTTGCTCTTTCCATTGTAACGAAATTCTGGCGCACAGGCACACACATACACACACACACACACACACAGACTTATGGAAAGACACACGGTAGGGGAAGCAGGCCGATGCTCTTTCTTTAATCCGAACGCGAAGTGAAATCCCTGAGAGGCACCCGGATGACGAGAGAGCCACAGAGAAATGCCTCACCTTGTTCCTTGTTCCTTGATTCTCTCTATCCACTCGCTGGCCGACAGTTTGCTTTTCTTTCCTTCGCCCGTCCATTTTAGTATCACTTCCTTTTCTCCGGCACACCTTCGCCGTTCATCGTCCGATCCGAGGGAAAAGACACTCTCTTTCTCTCTCTTCTCCTCGCGGTGTTTCTCCGAGGCAACGACACCCTTAAAGCTGGTCCTCTCGTTTTCACCGTGCGAGAGACGGGAGATTCTCTCTTCATTTTACTTTTCAATCTTCGGGAGGATGCGATTTTCTTCCTCATTTCCAGTCTGACAATATTAGGGGATAGAGCGAGCGGATGAGCGCTGAGAGAAAGAAAGAGAGAGAGAGGGGAGAGGTAAGATCGAAGGATGAAAGAACGGTTCGAGAGGTCCGCTACGAGGCGAAGAGGGTGAAACTAAAGAGGTAGAATGGGTGCATCGGTAATCGACCTATCACCTGTTTGTGTTAGCACGCCGTTAGGAAATTCGATTTACTTCAACGACTCCCGCTACCATCCAACGTTCCCAAGATTCCTCCTTCCAACGGCTTGGAGAACCCTTCAAACTGTGTCTTGTATCTCTCTTTTCGAGCGTGATGCACGAGCGACGACGAAGGAACGAACGCTAATTTGCCAGGATGACGTTCGAATGTGCAGGGAACATCCCGACGTTTGCTCGATTGTTACGTTGATTGCAGAGTGGAGGGAGTCTGGTTCTGCGTAAAGTTGAGAAAAGAAAGTAGGAAAGAAGAATTTTCGAGAATTTTCCACCTCAGGGTTGTCACGCGATTTAATTAGCGTACGAGAATTTGTAATTACACGTTGGATAATATTCTGCGGAGCGTGCATACACTCCCGCATATACATATTTTATATTACGTTTCACGTTGTCAAACGAATTAAAAGCAATTACCCACTGCAATTATCCTCCCGATGAACGATGAATATACGCAAACAGTCAGCCAATGGGAAACCAATTGAACAGTTTCCTCCCTATAAATTAATAGGCAACGATCTGTCTCGCTGTAAACTGCAAGAAGAACCTAATAACATTCGACGGTAATTGTGGCGTTAATATCCTGTATAAATAACTAACTAATCAAACGTCCAAACATTCGTAAATCCACCGTCGCAACAAATCAAATTTGCACATTTCCAGCCTGCAATGCGGAACTGCGTATATATTTTAATTGTGTTCAAACTCTATCCCTTGCTCGTCATTTTCGCGCGAGGGACAGTATTAATTCTCGTTCGCGGTTGAAAATGATCTCGCGTGCAAATTGATACGAACGACCCGGTGCTCAACGAACAGTGGATATCAGAAAGTACGATAGTTCGGTCGTAGCGATTAGCAAAGAGCTTCTAAGCTCCTGCAAGAAGGATCCGTGGTGTAGCGTTTCGCCGCGATCTGGGAAATTCGGCGTCGCGTCGTCTCGCTGGTTCCACCCGCGAGAATCCGATTTAACCTGGGAACCCGAGGTCGACTACGCGCACGCGACCACATACACATCGACGCACGATTACGCTTACTGTTAGCGTAGGAAGGTGATTATTTTGCCGAAGCTAGTTGCGAGTCGGGCAACTATACTAAGCCGGCTGCGTCAAAACTCTCCGAGGTAATCGCGTCGGGAAATAAACGATCAGGGAGGGCCAGCTTTGTCTCGGGTACGAGTGCAACGGGGCGAGAACGACCAGAGTTCCAACTCGGAGTTTCACACAGAAATTACAGAAGGTGCTTCTTAATGGAACTGAGAATTTCGCGAAATTATTAATTCCGTGCCCAATTGAAGACACGTACGCGTCCAACAGCGACGTTTTTGAGGTTCGAACTCGCGTTTACATGTGCTTCGAACTCTGACAGAAATTGATCGCAAAGTAACAGTTTTTCCATGCAGGTTAAACGCACGGAATCGCGCCGTCGATCAGTAATTCATCATTCGACATTCAATATAGCATGATCCGTTCGATTAATCGCAGGGCAACTGGATCTGTTTTTTAAAAAAAAAAAAAAAAAAAAAAAGAAACGTTCGGAACTCTGGCAAACAACGATTGATTCATAGTTCCCGAATGGAATTTTTCTATATATATATATATATACACATACTGTATCTGCTTCGTTCAGAGACGATCATTTATATGCAAACTCACCTCGAGAACGTGTTCCGCCTGGTTCTCTCGATCGAGCTTCCGGCCGCTGGTCGTGATCAAGCCTGGAACATAATCGAATAGAGAATTAGACCGGCGACCTTAATAAATCCCGATTAAACGGTGTTTCAATTAAGGTTTCTGGGCTGACGTTTTATCATCCGGGGGGTAGCCGACACCACCAAAAGGACAAACCGGGAGGACAATTCTTCGTGGCAATTTACGGCGAAATGAAAAGGCCTCAATTAGCGGGACAAAGATTAGCTCGATGCCCACCGTTTCCACGAAATTATAGCGTTCAGATTTCACCGAGTCGAACTCTCCAGCTCGTCTCTCCCATTCTTTCCCTCGTTGTTCACATTTTCTTCCCTCGCTCTTTCCTCTCGTTTCTTTCATTTTCCGTACGATTATCTACTTGTACGCGCGCACACTTTCGCATGAGAGTATTCGAGTACTCTATCGTGGAAAATTCTTACAAATGTTTCGTGTATATCGCGCGATACTTTATGAAATTTACATTAGCACAGTTTTTTGGTACGTACGTGATACGAATAATAGTCTTACACGTGCAGTAGAACTACCAAAGTGATCAAAATGACCAATTTATAATTTATCTATGGAAATTTTATGCACTTATAAAACAGTGTGTTTTTAAATATTCGAGTGATTTTTAATCAAATATATTAATAGAAGCTTATATTCTTTATTGTATTGTTTCTTGTATCTTGCGCTTTAATTTCTCAAATATTATACTTTAGTTGTCGGTAGTTCTAGTATTAATGCTAAAACGCGTGATACTTTATGAAATTTACATTAGCACAGTTTTTTGGTACGTACGTGATACGAATAATAGTCTTACACGTGCAGTAGAACTACCAAAGTGATCAAAATGACCAATTTATAATTTATCTATGGAAATTTTATACATTTATAAAACAGTGTGTTTTTAAATATTCGAGTGATTTTTAATCAAATATATTAATAGAAGCTTGTATTCTTTATTGTATTGTTTCTTGTATCTTGCGCTTTAATTTCACCGCCACAAATATTATACTTTAGTTGTCGGTAGTTCTAGTGTTAATGCTAAAAATCAAAAAAGCATTGACACGTTTAATTCTTACGAAGACAAAAGATATATTTACAAAATCTGTTTCCAAAAATAGCAACGTACACAATAGCAATTTCCAACAATGAGATACAGAATAATAACGCAAGTAGTATAAAAATTTCGAGAATCAAAAAGGTATTGATATACGAAGGGTCTTTTCGGAGCTTTATCATGTATTTGAACAGAATATAAAACATTTTTAATGGTTGAAAATGTGAAAAACGTTGAAAACGGTGAAAAATGTTATACGATAAAATATCGCTTTCAACATTATCGGCGAAAATGATATTTTGCAATTTTCCTAATAACATTCCTCCATTAAACGCAGATTAATCACTGGAATTACAGGCGTGTCAATACTTTTTGTATTTCCTGCATTATTATCGTACAGCTCGTTATTGGAAATTGCTACCGCGAACGTTACGTTTTGTACGTAATTAACTATTCATGGAGGCAGTTTTTGCTAAATTTCCACAAAGAAACTCTAATCCGAAAAACTCTTACCAATGGTGCCAATATTTTTCTCATCCACTATATTGAGATATCAAGGCTGTCCACGAGAAATGTCTTCTTTCTTTCAATTTAATAAACATTGCCATCTAGTGACAATAATTTACATAAAATAAAATTTTGTACAGTATCAAAAAACGTTACTTAGCCCACTATCTTTAGATTCATTTCAAACCACAGTGTCAATGAAATTTCGGAACGCGACGCGTACGTAGCCTCGGCTGCAATTCAATACGCACGATAGTGACGGGAACGTTTGAGACGTCACTGGTGAAAACTCGAGGGCTAACGATGACCGACCCGAACCAGGTTCAATTCACAGACAGAAAGAACAAACGGTTATCTGGCGCAGCGAGGAGCCGAAAAGAATTCGCCTCGCGATGATCGCGAGCATTTCGCGCGTTCCCGTCTGCCATCGACGGACGAGTGTCGTCGAAAAATAATTGAGGCGAGGGAAAAAATGAGAGTTTCGGGGCTGGCATTGTCTGCAACCGAGCTTCGAACATCAGCGATCGACGTGGTAATTGGGTTTCGGCCCTCTATTCGTCCCGGAGACCGTAACAATTTCGCGGGAAATTGTTCTCCGCGGCTGCGTTCCTCCTCGTTTTTCCGCTGACGTTCGTTGTCAGGCTCGACGAAAGGAATTCGATCCCGAGACAGATTTAAAAAAAAAGAAGAAAAAAAAACAGGAAAAAAGAGGAAGCACCATCGATTCGTGGAGAAAGATTGATTATTCGCAGGAAGGACGACCCAGCGACTGCAGTACAAATATTTGCACTTTGCAAATATTTGTCTCGATCTCTCTGGCTGACGAAATTATTTTTAAAAATCATCTCTTTCGTGCACACCTCGTACAAAGAATAATAATTCGCTGTACGCAAGGTACAATTTAACCAATCGTGATCTTAAAACGTGGCTTTCGGAGGAAAATTTTTTTCATTTTTCCAACGTTTCCAAGATTTTCTTTTCACTTCGTTGGGTTAACTCTGCGACGCGTGATAATTTCGAGAAAATTTCGAGAGCTCTTTCCGCGGCAGCTTCTCGACAGGACAGCAGAGAAAATTTAACCGGACGCATACTCGGTTCCTGGGACTTTTCGACGGTTTCCAAAGGCAACACATCGCCGGAACAAGAACGCGCGAAGCCCCTGAAAATATTTCCAGTGCTGTGCATGGCCGTGGTCACGTTCCCTTTTTTCCATCCTTCTCCCGTCCTCGCCTCACCTTCGTTCCACCTGGTTTCTACGGCTTCCGGTAGACAACGGCAAACGACACAGATTTTATATTTCAGCCGGAAGTACTAATCAGGTTAGGTGGAAGCCGCGTGTTTCTCTTTCGCGAGAGACACACGGCTGCCACGTGTGCGCGAAATTTCCCCCAAAACTTCTGATCCTCTGGATTCTCATTAGACTTCGAGGAGGGACCGCTTGAATTTTGCAGACGCGGAAACCTGCGGAACACGAGCCCCGTTCACAGAGCTGATTATCGGTGAATTGCACGCTGTAATTATAAAGCATCGTTTAACTTCTTATCGTAGTTGGCTTCGTTCAACGTTAATACTTTTATGGCGGACATCACGTATGTGCCATACTTGACTTTGATTGATTTAAGAAAAATATTAATATAAATAGACATATTGCTGTAAACGTTATTATAATAATATGTTTGTTTGTATTAATATTTTTGTTCACCAACCAAATGTATATAAATGTATGTAAATAAACATATTATCATTACAAAATTATTATATTAATAAAAATATTGATATAAATAAACGTGTGAAAGTATTAACACTAGAATAACCATATCAAGATATATTATACAATCATTATAATTTGATTAATAATTCGTACAATTATGTTTCTGTCCAAACAAAAATGAATAAGTAATTAATATTAATATTAATATTAATATTATTATTAATTATTAAAATTAAAATTAATATTAATATATATATATAAACTTTTATAATGAATCTAGCAAATAATACAGGCAATTGTCGTTTCAGATATCCCGCCCTCTACAGATTCAACTTCAATTGAATCGATATTTCGAACAAAACAACATTTTTAGTTGCCCAGTTAATATGTCCCGCGTCTTTTCTCTCTTCCCAATTACAGATATTGCATTAACAATGTCTGTGCATCAAATGAAATCTCGTGGTTTGGTTACAAAAGGAGGAAATTAATTATGACGTCGAGGAGACTCGATGAAACAAATTTTAACGCAGTAAGGAATTAATTATAATTAGGTAACGTTTCCAGCAAATGGAGAGAAAGGGATAATAACGTGCCAACGTGCGTTAATAAAATTCGATCATTTTAATATCTTTCAATTATACGATTCGGCAGGCGAATCGATCGCGATTGAACAATACCACGCTAATGGTAATTCACATATTGCGCGACGAAATCAAAACATATTATTTATGATGCGTTTAATTGAAAATTCAATAATGTGCTCTTCAACGTATATTTCGATGCAACGTGTTCTTACAATAGTAAAACAGAATGTCTTTCGCGAAATATATTCAAAATCTGATATTCATAATTCTCTGACGCAACGTTGCATCAACACTATATGATGATATAATCTTTCGTAGGAATTTTGTAACGACGTTCGAATGATTTTTCGGAAAATATATGAATAAAAGCTTCTTTATCGTACTACTTTTTGCGTTTCAATTTTTTTGATGCAAGTTTCTCTTTGTACTCGAGTCGCTGTACCTGGAGTAGTTTTAAATTAATTATCTCGCAACTTGGCAACAGTTGTTCGAGACGTCGTTGTCTAAATAACGATCGCGAGTCAAAGCAGAAATTTTTGACAAGGATCGAGTGAGTCGAGGGCACAAATGCAGCATCGATGCTCCCATACGTCGCTGACGGAACGACGCGACGACGCGCAGTTTTCTGGCCAACAGGAAATCGACATTGTGATAGAAGTCGACGTTCCGCCGGGTGTTTTCCTCGTTGGAATCACGGTTGAAGCGAGAGAAAAAATAGGGGAGAAGAGTGAGACGCGGCGAATGCACAGGGTAAGTCAGCATTGAAAAATTTAGCACGCGTGTCAAAGCTAAGATATGCAAACGACAAAATGCAGCCGCGATGGAATCGAGTCTTTTCCATTTCCCTCCGCCGTTCCGAGCGAAGTGATCTTCGTATGGGCGCTGTTACGAAGTTGAACGTGTTTTGAATCGCAGAGAGAAGGGCAAAAAATAATCGTAAAATTCTCGGGAAACAAAGTACAACCTTTCTCTGTTCGCGTCACTCTCTGTACTCGGTGAACGTAAGGGCAGAAAAAAAAAGAAGATACAGCGAACAAGGCGAAACCGAAAAAGAGAGGAAGAAAAGGTGAAAAAGTGGTGGGAAACACGACGACGGATTAAAGGAAAAAGAAAAAGAAGAGAAGATCGTAGCGTGGAACGCATTTAAATAATTGCTTTTCGTTA